CTTGACATAGCAAATATTTTGAATTAAAGTTGCATAAGAAACAGCTGGTGTTCGGGGCCCTCCTTGGTGACACAATAGATTAGATGCAGCACCACAAAGCTAGCCACAGTCGCCTCAACACAAATTCAGTCTTCACCAGAGAGCTGACCCACATGGCACAGCAGACTCCTCCTGACCCACCCGCTGCTCCCCTCAGCAGTGCACTTTGTCGATCTGCCTGTTCTGCTCCCCACTTTGTCTCTGGTGAATCCTCTCACCGCCCCTGCACCTCTGACTCGTACCCAAGTTTTGTGTGCATAATAAATAAATCTTAGGAAACAACAGCCTGACCCTTCTTTGGTCCTTGAAAGCTGGAGATAAATTTCCCATGTGAAAAAGTATTTCCTCTGGAGTAGAAGGGAAAAAATCTTCTTTACCACCCGAGACAGGGTATTTAGGGCTCGGAAGACTGTGTAAACAAACCTTAGTGTTTCTTTATTCTTCTAGAAACCCAAATCTTTTTTCTTGTCAATTCTTCCTTGTCTAGAAGGTTTGACAAAAGTCATATGCTTTGGCCACTTCTCCGGGTCCCCTATCTCTGGGCCCGTCATACATAGGAAATTAAACTTCTTTTCTCCTGTTCATCTGTGTGTGTCAATTTAATTATTAGGCCAAAGAACTGGAAGGGAGAGATGGGCAAAGTTTTTTTCCCTATTTTATCTACAAGATCATATCACCTGCGAAGAGAGATTGTTTTACTTCATCTTTCCAATCTGGATGACTTTCATTTTTCTCTTGTTTAATTGCTCTGGTCAGAATCTCCAGCGCAATGTGAATAGAAGTGGACATCCTTGTTTTTCCCCTGACCTTGTTAGAAAAGCTTTTTTGTTTTTAACACAGACAAAGCAATTTTTTTCCTCCTCACCAGCCCCTCTCTTCTTCTTGTCTGCTGCTGGAAAACCCAATTTAAGAGAAGCCACCTTACACAATTCTCCCTGCAACCCACCTTTTCCGCTGGTTCCAAAGTGTTATTTTCCAAAACGAAATCTTTCAATAATCATAGACAGCACTGAGCGAGTTCACTGAGTTCCCAGCTCTGAGCTGCTCACATCCATCAGACAGGGAGGTGCACAGAAATTCCCTAACTCGCCGGGGGACAAAGGTCTAGAAAGAGGAGAACTCAGGCAGTCGATATCCATCGCACGTCTCCAAACTACACTATGCTCCTCAGCCCTGTGATGTTCTCCAGGCTCAGGGGCCTCCCTGGCCACAGCGAGGTCTCAGGAGCACAGTTAACTACCAAGGACAAGGAGGTCTGGTGAGGGAAGTCTTTTTTTCCCCAAGTGCAGGATCTTTTTCATCTCCTTGTTAATTGTTCTGAAACATTTCAAACCCACAGAGACAGTGAAAAAGTAACATAAGGAGGGTCCAGTATATAGTTCACCTCGGTTCACCCGTTCTTCATTTTTTTTCCCTCTGAATCATTTGAGTGCATGCTGCAGACACTATGACCCTCCACCTCTAAGCACTGTCACATGCATCTCTGAGAACAAAAACGCCAAAAAGTTAACATCCATGAAGTGCTATTCGGGTAATATGTATGTGATGTGGGCATCATCTCCGTCTGAATGATAATATATCCACCCAATGCCACAACACTGTTCTGTCTAGAAATTCCCCAGTTATCCCTTACTATAGCTGTGTCGTTGCTGAGTTGTCATTTCCACCTGGGATTTACTGGAGATTCCCTGTCGTCTTTCATTGTTATATTTGTTTCCTCTCTTTCAAACTGTCTTTTTCTTGGGGGGTTGTCTTGTATTTGGACATTTTGCAGGAGTCCAGGACAGTTGGCTTGTGGGATGTTTCACATTCTGTACTGTCTGCTTGTTTCCTCATGATTAGATTCAGGTCACACATTTTTGACAGCGAGAGTCCCCAGGAGATGCGGTGTGTTCCTTGCTGGGTCCCATCAGGAGGGACCCGTGTCAGGCTGTCTCACTGTCCCTTCTGCTTACTTTGCCAATGTGGTTATGGCAGTGACTTCCAAGTCTTGTCATGGGGAGATCGATTTCCCTTTGTACTTACTAAGAAATCTGTGTTGGCAAACATTCTGTTCCCCAAGCACTTTTCACCCAAACTCTTTCGTTGCCACTGTTGATTTTTGCTTATTTGGTTAATTCATGGAGGGTTACAAAATGCAATTTTTTTATTCTTTTAAAGTGTTTTCCTTTGTTTTTTGTTTGTTTTCAATTCTCTCTCATATACATGGACAGCTGGATTTTTTTTTTAAAGATTTATTTATTTGTTCATACAGAACTGGGGTACAGGCCAGAGACTCAGGGGCAGCGAGAGGCTTCACCAGAGACAGAGTGAGGAACAGAACAGGCAGATCTACAAAATACACTGCTGAGGGGAGCAGCGGGCGGGTCAGGAGAGGTCTGCCATGCCATGTGGTCACCTCCAGGGCAGGCGGGAATCGAACTCATGTGAAAGTGGCTTTAGCTTCTCAGTGCTGTGCTTTAACCCACTGTGCCACCAGGGAGAGCCGCCAGCTGGATTTTTTTAAAGATTAAAAATGTTATATATTCAGAACTGTTATGATGCTCAAATTGCCCTAAGTTGGTTAAGTTGAGCCTAGAGGCCCCGAAGGAAGGCAGAGCTCTGTTGTAAGGAAGAGGAGGATGGACCCTGGGCAAGAACTAGTGGGTCCGTCACAGCACCTTGCCTCGGAGCCTCTGTTCTCTGGGTCTCATGACAGGCTAATAACTCTCTTAGGATGATTTCCAAGTCTAAATGAATTGGTCGTCGATCCATTGCATGGAAAGCATGTGTGTCCGCCATAGAATCTGATACAAAGAAAGCACTCAAAATGACAAATTTACCCCCTTTCTTTCCTCTGCATGCCCAAATACTACCTCTTTTATTCAACTTCTCCTACTCTGGGTTTCTAAAGTCACAATATCACCTGTTTGCTTCTCTGTTTCTCATCTGTGAAATGGGGTGTCAGGGTGGCATAAGGCTCAGCGAGGCTGCTGGTAGTGTAAGTCCCTTTTTAAGTCTCGTGGAGTCTCCATTCAGTAGGAGAAGGGGGAAGACACTCAATTCCTGGTCATCCATGACTCTGACTTTTGTTTAGCTGAATTAGTTCACATCATCTGCCCCAGAAGTAAAGCTCAGTCCTTTCCTTGACCCCCCTACAGCTCACCACCCATTAGTCACAGAAGGATTTGAAAAGATATTTGACACATACAGATTATTCACTATTCGGGGGAAGGATCCCCTAGCCATTGGGAGCCATTGGTAACTTCTCTTGTGGAATGGTCTTGGGCTACCAATGACTGACTGGCATGGGGGACAGAAAGCTGGTTCCCTTGCCTCACAGCAAGACTAATTCTGGAGGTAATTTACGTTCTAGAGGGAGCAGGCTGAAGTCAGTCTCCAGCTTTGACCAAAGCTTTCTTTAACTACTCCCCTTGCCTATTTCCACAAATTTCTTTTTCTTGAGGCACTCACCTACCCCCAGTAAACTACTTGCCAGAACCCCAACTGGGGCTTTTGCTTATAGGGGAGAGAAGGGATGGTGGGGGATTTCCAAATCAAAACACAGTACCATAGATCCTCGAAGAGCCCGAGTTAGAGCTGCTTGGTCAACTTCTATGTGGACTTCATTTTTTAATTCATGGATTGATTTGTTAATCATTAATCATAAACCATGGATGTTGGTTGATTGTGTGAATATGGACCCACCAATACTGAGGGGGAATTGTAAATTATATACAGATTTTCCAAGTGGGGGTCGTAGCCTGTAACCCCTGGTACTGTTCAAGGGCCCACTATATTTTGAGTGAAGCTGGCAGATATTTTGTGCATTAAAGTACCCAGAAACCACCCACTTCTGGGACCTTTGCCAGAAGTGTTCTCTCTCAGGGCATCTCACGGTCTCTCTTATTTACTCTTTCTCACTCCATCTTTTCCAGTTACCAAAAAGAGCTCCAAATGCTTCTTCCTATTTCAGGTGGCAATCCATGTTTCAGATGCAAACTCAGCTCCAGGTCCACCAGGCAGATCAAAGCCATTCAGTAACTCAGCTGAAGGAAAGGGCGTCATGCAAGTTTGCTGAGGCTGTGCATAACATTCACTGTGTTTCTACATACATGTGGTATCTTGTGGAAGCATGAACACAATGCTTAGCATGCCACCTACAATGCATGGTATGTATGCTCCTTGGGGAATGTCCTGTAAATACTCCTTGTCCTCTCAAAGCAGAATAAACTCTGACCCTGGCCTACAAAATGCCACATGGTCTGGGCCCTTCCTACTCCTTAGACCTTGTAGCTTCTGGTGCGTTGTCCTCACCTCTTCCATGAAGGTGGTAAGGTCTTTCCTGCCTGGGGAGTTTGCACTGGTTGGCCCTCCAGCAAAATTCTTCCCCCACCTTATCCTGACTAACTCCCATTCATCCTCAGGACTCAATTAGAATGCTTCTTCCTCTCAGAGGTTGCGCTGGTCTCTCAGATGAAAGGAGGCCGCCCTCCTATTCATTTTTTCTCATAGTTCATGCTGGTGTGCTTTTCCGTTTATGCATTTATCACAGTGGTTAATAAGCTTATTTAGTTGCTTGTTTTTCTTTTTGTTTCCTTCACCAGTACTTCAGCACTAGTTTGTGGAATGAATGAAGAGGCCAACTAGCACCCAAAGTTTGCCTCCTTGGGGTCAACACTGGATCTAGGTGGTCTCCAGGACAGCGCCCTGGGCTGCTTCAAAGGTGAACTTTCCCAAGTGAGCACTGACCCTCTCTTCCCTACTCCATTCCAGGTCTCCTTACGCTCTGTCAGGTTCAGTCAGACACACTGGGCATCTTGAAAGATAGGCGTGACCACGCCTTCCCACTCTCTGGTACTGGACAGCCCGGGAACAGCGAGACTACAACTCCCACAATGCCCTGCGCGCCCACGCCATATGATTGGTTGAGCCTGTGCCTTCGACCAATAGGATGTGACTTTGTTGACCCGTGCCGCGGCAGCTCGAGTCCTGGAAAGGGCTGGGCGTCTGCCTGGTTGCTCTGGAGCCCGGTCCCGTGGTCGCCAATCCGCCCGCCTCCTGCCATGGGGAGCAGCGAAAGCAGCGAGGGTCGCAGGGTGTCCTTCGGAATGGACGAGGAGGAGCGGGTCCGGGTGCTGCAGGGCATCCGGGTGAGCGGGCCGCCGGCGGGCGCGACAGATCGGATCGAGCACGGCCTGGGCTGGGGCGGGCGTGGAGGGCGCCCCCGGGCGCGGAGGCCGCGGCCGGCCAGAGGGGAGGTTCGGGACTTGCTCTTCGAGCCCTGCTAACGCCCTCCTCCGTTTGAAAAGGGACGTGAGACTCGGGGAATGTCCGGGGTCCTCGCCCGGGGAGTGGTTGCTTCAGGCTTCACCACAGCCCTGGCACCGGGGGGCAGTGGAGAGAGGACCAGAGGGGCGGCCAGACTCCAACTCGAGTTGACCCAGTTGTTAAGTGACCTGAGTCAGTCCCCCATCCCTCCAGTGGCGCTCATGTTGTGTGGACATGGGCTGTTTCCTAGTCTGCCAACGGCAGCCGCCCCTTCACCCAGTTCCCCTGCGACCCAGACCTCTCAAGTGTCTTCACCACGCAGCCAATGGGGAACTTCAAGAATTGTAAATCAGATCTTATCCTCCTCGCTGGGCTGGCTAGTCCCCCAAGGGCATGAGAGACGGGAGCCTTACAAAGCTGTACCTCTGACCACATCTCAGCCCAGTTTCGCCAACCTCCCTCTCCATCTGTTCACTAGCTCAGCACCCCCCAGTCCTGCAAGATGCCCACGTTTTCCAAGCACAGGCTGGGCCCCTGTATTTGCCATGTTGTCGCCCTTGCTTTTCTTATATCTGGCTCTTTCCTAGCGTTTCTTGCTACAGAGTGTGAACATCTTCTGAGCAACCCTCCCTTCCACTCCCTCTAAAGGAGCTTCTCACCCCCAGCCACATAGTGTTTTGCATAGCACTCATCACAGTTTCAAACTATTGGTATTTTACTTGTGGATTGTGTTGCCACGAAGGCCCTTTTCTGGTTTGAGATTCTAGCCCCAGAATCTAAAAGAGTATTACAAGTTGCTCCCACTTGAAAACTTAGTGGAGGCCAGGTTTTGTGCTAAACCCTTTGTAGCTATCTTCTTATTTTCCACAGCCCTATGAGAGAGGGTGTCCTGGTCCATTTTATAGAGTTAGAACAACCGAGGCACTGAGGTAAAGTCACTCACCAGCATTGCCCCCGTGACAGACAGGTGGGTGGCTGGGATTGGCTAGCTCTGGGACAGTGGTCATTGGATGACCTGCTTCCTTCTACCCCTGTGCCTGGCACGGGATGGGTGCTTCCTAAATAATTGTTGGATGATTAGATGAACTTGGTGAAACAGGCATCCAGTTGAAGTGGGACCGAGTTTACACGCTCAGTGTAGGTGAATCCATCAGGGAGGTGGCTCAGAAAAGACACCAGGAGCCCTCACTTCCGGGCACAGGCTTGCTCACTAGCTTTGTGAGGGGTGCATACCTTATCTTTTGAGTCCCAGTCACCACATTTTTTTTTTTTTATTATGGGGGTAGGGTGTAGTAATCCATGGTGTTGCCTTAAATGAAATGAAGATGTGTGTGGGAAGTGTTTAGAAAAGCTAGTGTTCTGTGAGGCCCTCTCCTTTACAGTTCTGGTGCGTTTGGTGCTTGCCAGGGGTTTATAGAGTGTTGATCTGGCCTGTGGCAAGCGCAGAATAGGGAGGAGAGCACTTGTGTTGGGAGGTTGAGAGGCAGGAGCCTGAAAGGCCTTGACTGTTTGGGTGCGCTCCCTCTTGGTCTCCTGCTTAAGTGACTTCCCTTAAATCAAGAGAAGAATTTCATCCTTTCTTTATTTTGTCAGATGGGCACATTTTATATTATTGTACTTTACTCACAACTAAAATTTCTCTGTAAAGATGGGCAATCAGGCTTAGAAAGATTAAAGAATTTGTGCAAACTGTTACCTGAGTAACTTTTAAGACTTTAATCTAGATTTTTGGGGGGCACAAAAAACAGCCTTTTCTCACTTCTCCCAGCTCCCTCCCTGCAAATGGTATCAAGGCAGCAGGGGATTCTGTGACAAAGCCCCTGCCTGTCCTCATGGTGCTGGTGCCCCCCACCGGGGGTTGTTAAAACTAGAGGGGCTGTGGAGGCTGATTGCTGGGCAGAAAATTAGTGACTTGTGGGAGGCACCAGTGCCATGGGCCCTGCTTTGAAAACTTGGCTGTCCTTCCCTTGCTCTTTCCCTCCCTCCCTCCTTTCTTTTTTCCTTCTTCCTTGGTGCCAAGTGTGAAAGAGGGAGATCAGAGAAGGGAGGAGGCAATGAAGTGTGGTGGTGTAGGACGTTTTTTCTTAGCTAGCCGTTTTTTAAAAACAGTGCCAAGGTGGTGGGGACAGGTCATAGCCAGTTCTCATCTGTGCGCTTAGGGTGCAGCGACAGGGTTTATGTACAAAGGGGTGACTGAGATAAGGGCTGCCAAGGCCACAGATTGCTGGCTGACCTACTCCAGATAGTGTTCACAGTGTCCAGTAGTCCACACCAAAAGCTGCTCATTCAAGATACATTGTCTCTGATGAGAGCCGGAACTGGTGGCACGCAGGGGAGCGTGCCACCTCACCGGTGGCAGGTGGGCAAAGATGGCACCGCCGAGGCAGCACCGCAGCGGCGTGGCAACAGCCTGAAGCTGGGCTGGGCAGTGCCAGATGGCAAACCTGGCCGCTCTCAGGTGGCACCAGGGCCGCAGCTCTTTAGACCAGCTGCACTCCTGATGAATGAAGCTAGGTCAAAGATCTTTCCAGATGAGTCTAGGAGTCTCCCCTGAAGCCTCTCCCAACCTGGCTGAAACCTTTCAAACCTGATTGATCCATTTTCCAAACTAGCTGTTTCTTAGACTTGATTGGTGCCAGTGGGGAGCGCAAAACTAGTTTTCCAAAACTAGTGCAGGATTCAAATCCAAAACCCTGGTAGAGCATCTGAGCTACCCTGCGCTGTCTCACGCCAGACATCTGTAGTGCAGGAGACGTAGTGGAGTCAGACACGTTTAAACCCACACTTCTTCAAAACTGCCAAGTTTTCTCTCTTTTTTTCCCCTAAAACCCAAGCCCTGCGGTGCCAGGGTCAGTCATCAAACCTGGCTGTCGTGGCATAACCCAGGCTGATGCCCCTCAGCTGGGAGCCCAGCACCTGCAGAGAACCAGGGCCACACTTACAGTTTGAGGACTGAGATCCACTTCATCTTTAGGCGGACAAATAAAATCAGTTGCAAAAGATGGTTTGGGTAACCAAATGAGGAGGTAATTTAATAGAAGGCAGATGCCAAAAAAAGAATATTTGCTCCAGCTCTTTCAGAGAAAGTTAAATATTCTTAAAGACCTTTGCATTTAATCCCCTGGGCCTGGTCTTGGAAAGTCCTCTAGTTCCCTTAAAATTAAATGCCAGGGCCTTGCTAGTTTGCATACACATTTACATAAATTTACATATCAAGTTCAAGCCCTAATTCCATGGAAGGTAAGAGAAATTTAATTAATGCAAAATGTTGCAATTATATTCAGCACCAGTTTTCAGAGCAAGCATGTGTGAAATACATAAAGATTTCATTTCAACCAGTGTGTTAACCTCATCCTCCATAAGAGAAGCCAGTAATGTCCTGTGTATGTCCGCTTTTCTCTTCTCTGCCCTATATGAGCAGCCATCTTTGGTACTACAGCTGAAGCTGCCTGTCAACATCCAGATTCCTCCCTGTTCCCCAGACTTCCCCCTTCCAACTGCCAGGCCCCCCACTGTTCTTCTCTGAACCTGCTGCTTCAGCCATGTCCCCAGGCTCATTTTATCCTGTATGTCACCTTTCCTGTCCCAAGGTGCCCCTGTGATGCAAATTGGACCTCTGGCCTGAGGGCAAGACCACAGAGCAAGTAGTAAGCCACACAAGAAACAGCTCCCAAACAGGCCAGTGCCAGAGAAGCCCCGTGCCAAGCACTTCTCCCAGAACTACACTATTTATCCATCACTGCAGCAAATGCATACTGTGCCTGAATTACCTGGCAGGCACCAGGCCTGGCCTTGCAGAGACGATCAAGGACAAAGCGCCAGGTCCCTACCCCCTTGGAGACCAGCCCAGTAGGGGCAACAGACCAAAAGTAAGACAGAAAAAGGGAGACAAAAGAACAAAAGAACTACAAGTGCTTTGCGAGGAATAAAAAGCGTTGGAAGAGTCATCGGGCTGCCTGCTTGAGAAGGCACCGTAGGCACCGTCAGCTAATGCCCCTGACAAGGTGACGCTGATGACGAGCCGGAGCCAAGCCAGAGGGGTGTGCACAGTTCCATGCTGAGTGTTTTAGGGGCATTGTCTCAGTATTCCGTCTGTTGACCTTATGAGATGTCATTACTGCCATCTGTGAGGTGATGAAAACAGGTTCAAGGTGAAGGAACGCGGCTAGATCTGCAAGCTCCAGTTGCTGCCTGTAGCCCAGGTGGTGAGGGGTTAGGATGTTGGAGATACTGTTCTACAATGTCTCCAGAGTAGTTCCTCTCATCAGCTATGGAGCTTTGGAAAGATGTTGTCTGATGATCCTAATTTTTCTTTTAGAAGAAACAGGTTTATTGAGATATATTTACATATTATAAAATTCTCCCACTTCTGTAATTCTGAGCAAATTGGCAGAATAGGGCAGCTGTCATCACAATCAAAACATTTGTAAGACCCCAGGAGACACCCTGTGTTCACTGGCAGTCACTCCCCACTCCCCTGCCCCAACTAGGTAGCCCCTGTATTTGTCCTGGACAGTTCCCTAGCAGTATTTCCCTGGGCAGTTTGTGTAAATGGACTCAGACATCTCATCTTGGCATGATGTTTTTGATATTGGACCACTGATTGCCGCATGTATCCATGGCTTGCTCCTCTTTATTGTAGAATAGTATCTCATTGTATGGCTGTATTTATCTTGCTTTGCCAGTCCCTAGATGATGGACATTTTTATTGTGTCCAGTTCTTGACTTTTATGAATAATGCTGCTGTGGACATTTGTGTGTGATTGTGTGTGCGTGTTTGTTTTCACCTCTCTTAGGTAGATTCCTCAGAGCAGGATTGCTGGATCATCTTGTGTATGAATTTAGTGAATCGGTAGGTTTAACTACTTAGGAAGCTGTCAAA